GAAAGCAATACAGTCTGAGAAATACTTCTTTAGAAAACCTCATCATAGAACTGAAGATCTCTCTTGGGCTGCTTAGAAACCCAACCTGAGAGCTGGGTTGGAGGCGCAGTACCGTGCTTCATTGAGGGAGGGCTCTGAGGAAGAACCTGGAGGAAGTGAAGGGAACAGGCTAAGGCACAGGAGAGTCGAGCAAGGATAGGATCTCTTGTGAAGCCTATCTTGGCCTGACCCATGACACGGAGGCTCCTGGGCACAAATCCAGTCACACAGTTGTCACCACTGGAGGCAAGGGGGCTGGCCTTTTGTACTCTACTGTCAGCGATCATCCTTATCTGTTCCACCCAGGGCAAATCTCTGGGCAAGGGTGCAGCTCAGCCAAATGCAAGCGCCGAACACCCATCCAAATTCCAGAGATAAATGCACTGTGCTGACAAAGGCCACCTGAGAAGGGAATTAGCAGCAGCTACTATAAGGCTTATAAAACAGAGAATGTACAGAGGCAGACTAGAGGCCAAGCTTGTTGTAGTAATAGGCTCCCATTGCCAGCGTTTTGAGGATAATATTTGACCATTTATCCTGTCTAATAGAGGGAATGTGCAAATTGACCATCACACCATCACAAAGATGGTGGTGCCCATAGCCACAGATGGTAGCACCCAGTCCCCTTAGCCCCACCGGACTCCCCCAATTCTTTTAGCCCTGCTTGGAGGATGGGTGGTGGCAGGCACGCTATGCAACCCGACCCACCCACAGGCCCCAGTCACCCAGGGCTAGCCCAAGGTGCAGGCAAGCCTCAGATGGCGGCTGCCCAGCTGCCCAGGGGAGTTCCCGTTTAGCTAAATTGAAACAATACAAACAGAGAAGAAAATGAGTATTCTTGGGTTAAATCATTCAGTTTTTATTATTACCTAATTAAAAACAAGGCAGCCGAAACCGGTTTGGCTCAGTGGATAGAGCGTCGGCCTGTGGACTGAAGGGTCCCGGGTCCGATTCCAGTCAAGGGCATGTACCTTGGTTGCGGGCACATCCCCAGTAGGGGGTGTGCAAGAGGAAGCTGATTGATGATTCTCATCGATGTTTCTAACTCTCTATCCCTCTCTCTTCCTCTCTGTAAAAAATCAATAAAATATATATTTTTTAAAACACACAAAAAACACAAAAAACAAGGCAAACATTGTTGATGAAAACCTTCAAGGCTCAAACTTGGCACAATATTATATGGGGAGATAAATTTCTCTGTAATTCACCTAGCAGCAAAATGAAGCATAAGTAATTATCCAAATGCAAGTCAGCATGAGACCCACAAAGTGTGGGGTTCTTATTTAAAGCAATAAAATAACTGATAAAAGATGAGCATCTGACCAAGGATAGGAAATTCTTGCACTCGCACCAAGCACTAGATGTTACTAGTTAATGTGCCCAGTTCCTGATTGAGCCGTCTGAGCATTAAGAAAAAAATGTGACTTCTGCTTCACTTCCAGCTTCCAAATCCTATACAGCATTCCTTTGAGGACCACGCTCACACACCAGGAAGGGAACTCTGGGAAGGGTAGTTTCATCTTAGCTAAACTGAAACAATACAAACCCACCACGGTCCACCCCTTGGCAACTTGTTATTCGTATATCTATCTCCATTAGCTAAACTCAGCTTTTAGATAAAGGAAACAGCATAACCATGCTTCTCCCCAACATAATGCAACTAACCTTGAAAACTAAAAACCATGCTAAGCCTCTCCCCAAAGGACAACCCTGTCTCTTTATTCATCTTTGCATGATTTTCATTATTCTTCTAGTTGAATCCCTGACCCCATTAGATATCCTGTAATGCAAATACTGAGAGGTGAGGTGAGCTGCTAGTACATAGGAGATGACACGGGGGAGAGAAGAGGGGAAAAGACAAACAAAATAACCCCTCCCACACACACAACACGCACCCACACACTCCACACATACGTAGCAAATATGATAAAGCTTCCACCGGAGCTACCTGATAGTCGCATCTGCATGGAGTCTATGGCTGAATTCTTTTCTCCCAACACTTGTAAATGAGATTAGTTCAAAGAAAATTAAACTAATGATTTAATTAATATAATTACTTGAAGAGAAAAGAAGCATAATTACTACAAAGTAAATGGAACAGAGAATAAAAGCCATGGAAGCAATCTATTACATCATTTGTGATTTGATGCATAAGCTCTTTCAAAAATAAATCTGTTTTGGGCCAGTTTGTCATCATGACAATCTGGGGGGCGGGGGGGAGAATGTACTATTTTGATGATTATTTGTTGCATAACTGAATTTCATATATTATATATTTTTTTAATTGAACATATTGGGGTGATGTTGATGAATAAAATTAAATAGGTTTCAGGTGTACAATTCTTCAATGCATCATCTGTATATTGTATTGTATGTTCACTATCCCAATCCGAGTCTCCTTCCATCACCATTTTCCCCATACCCTCTCCTACCTCCCCACACTCTCATTTATTATACTTATTTTAAAACTATTAAGTATGTTGGGTTAAACATTTATTAAAATAATGTTTAACTCAACAATATTAAAATAAATGCCCACTTTGTAATTTAAATATTTCATTGGAATTTGAAATTGATCTGTTAAAAAAACCCAAAAATATATTTTATTACTTTAATTTGGCCTAGTATAACCATTTTTAAAAGAAGTTATTTTTATGAAAATTTATCCAAAATTTCCAATTAATTTGCAAAATCTTACTTTTTTTTAAAATCATGACTGCTATTTTACTTCACTTATTTCAAATACTTTTTGGGGAAAATCAAGATAATATAGGAACTTTAAGTACAAAGGCTATTTCATTTCAGATGTTGGGAGATGACAATTTAATTTACTTCATCAAAAATTTGAACAAAAGTCTTATTTGAGCACTATGCAGGATACAAATATGAGGAAGACAGTCTCAGGGGACTACACTATAGAAACACAAGAAAGCCATGTCTCCAAATGAATGCAATAAAAGGCAAAACATGCAGTCCCTCTCCTGGCATGTTTCTCCCCACTGTCTAGCGCACCTTCTTCCTGAAGCCTCTTCTCTCTCTCTGTATGTACTCATGTACTTCTTTCTTTCCTCTTTAATTTTGTTCATTTTTTTAAGATCAAAACCATAGGATCCCGGTCTATTCATTCCTGTTTCCCCAACACCTGTCATAGGCACTTAATATGTTTCTATTGAGTGGAATTTATTATAATTTAATCTGAATTAAAATGACATACAGCAAATAAAGTGATCCAGGAACCTTCAAAAGAGGAAGTGCTTCTATGTGGTTGGGCAAATAAATAAAATCTGGGGTAACTTTTATTACTTAAGGTGGATTTGAGGAAATGGGGAGCATTTTAAAAGTGAAGGAAAGGCCGTTCAAAGCACAAAGAATTGTGACAAATGCCAATGAGCCATATACTAAAGAATTTACTTGCCAAACATCTCATAAAATTTGACCAGAGGTTTTTGTTTGTTTTTTTAAAATACATTTTATTGATTTTTTACAGAGAGGAAGGGAGAGGGATAGAGAGTTAGAAACATTGATGAGAGAGAAACATCGATCAGCTGCCTCCTGCACACCCCGCACTGGGGATGTGCCTGCAACTAAGATAGATGCCCTTGACCGGAATTAAACCTGGGACCCTTCAGTCTGCAGGCCGACGCTCTATCCACTCAGCCAAACTGGTTATGGCCAGAGTTATTTTTTAAAGTTTAAAATGTGTTGCATTATTATATTCATATAGAAATTGACCACTTAATCTGAATATTGAGGGTTAATTTTTGTACCTTACGTTCTTTATACACCTAAAAACATTTCTACTTTTTCCCGTGGAGTAGAATCCCAGCATCACTTACTGAGCATGTAGCATGTGACAGGTACTGCTCAGCACTGGCCATCGATGGCCTCATCCAGTCCTCATCATCCCCCCTCTGAGGGAGATGCTATCATTATTCCCATCTCAGAGAAGAGGATGCTGAATTTGGTGAGACAATGTCCCTGGCCCCAATTAGAGAGCTGGTGAGGGGTGAAGCCCATATTATCACCCAGACAGCTGAGGACAGAGTCCTCTTTTCTCTTAAATATTACGTGATGGACAGGAATCCGTTGCTCTCCCAGAAGGGGAATTAGAGGTCCATTAGAGAGGGCAGAAGGCCTGGAACCGAAGGAAGTCTTGGCTAGCTGGGGAAATAGCACCGCATAAAGCTTCTCGGGGAATGTGGACGGTTCCAGACCAAGAGATGTGACAGGAGTACACTGAACTCAGGACTGCAAAGCATTTGAGAAAGCAAACACTTTGAACCACAACAGTTTTTGAAGATGGACCATGCCTTGCTCTGGGGCTGTGGGAAATTGGGAACCATGGAACTAACCTGACAGAGGCAGCAAATGAGCCTGCTTCCTGGTGAAAATAGCCTCCATCATCCTTAAACCATAGGGCCAGATGTCAAGTCTTACAAATTGCGGAAACATCTCAGTTTTCATCATATATATATATATATATATATATATATATATATATATGAAAAAAACTTTAATTTTAATTCTGTTCTAAGCATAAAATGCATTTATATACTACGGTTAAATTTAGTACAAACTATAAAAATGTTAACAAACTATAAAAATGTTGACATTTCAACAGAAATCTATTAAGATCCTTTAGAAAAAACTAAAGAAACAAGTTATTTACTGCTGTGAGGTTAATATTTTTAATGATGTCAGAGAGAGAGAGAGAGAGAAACATCAATGATGAGAGAGAATCATCCATCACCTGCTTCCTCATCCTCTAGGGATGGAGCCCACAACCCTTGCATGTGCCCTGACCTGGGATGAAACCTGGCCTCCTGGTTCCTACGTCTCTGCTCCATCCCTGAGCCACGAAGGCTGGGCACAGCTCAGTGTTTCCAACCAATGAGACCCATGCACTATTTATTGGGTGTTCAGCTGTGTCTTCCAAACCATTCTCCCCCCTCCCCCCCCAGGGAACATCTTCGTGGTGAGCCTGGCGGTGGCCGACCTGGTGGTGGCCGTGTACCCGTACCCGCTGGTGCTGACGTCCATCCTGAACGACGGCTGGAGCCTGGGCGCGCTGCACTGCCAGGTCAGCGGCTTCCTCATGGGCCTGAGCGTCATCGGCTCCATCTTCAACATCACGGGCATCGCCATCAACCGCTACTGCTACATCTGCCACAGCCTGCGCTACGACCGGCTGTGCAGCAGCCGCAACTCGCTGGGCTGCGTGCTGCTCATCTGGGCGCTGACCCTCGCGGCCATCGCGCCCAACCTGCGCGCCGGCACCCTGCGCTACGACCCGCGCGTGTACTCCTGCACCTTCGCGCAGTCCGTCAGCTCGGCCTACACCATCGCCGTGGTGGTCTTCCACTTCCTGGTGCCCGTGGCGGTGGTCCTCTTCTGCTACCTGCGCATCTGGGTCCTGGTGCTGCGGGTGCGGCGCCGGGTGAAGCCCGACCCCAAGCCCCGGCTGAAGCCGCAGGACTTCAGGAACTTCCTCACCATGTTCGTGGTGTTCGTGCTGTTCGCCATCTGCTGGGCCCCGCTGAACCTCATCGGCCTGGCCGTGGCCTCCGACCCCGCCGGCATGGTGCCCCGGATCCCCGAGTGGCTGTTCGTGGCCAGCTACTACATGGCCTACTTCAACAGCTGCCTCAACGCCATCATCTACGGGCTGCTGAACCAGAACTTCCGCACGGAGTACCGCAGGATCCTCGTGTCCCTGTGCACCGCCAGGATGTTCTTCGTGGAGAGCACCAACGAGGACAGGGCGGGCAGGGCGAAGTGCAAGCCCTCTCCCCTGAGGACCCACCACAACCTCATCAAGGTGGACTCTGTGTGAAAAACAAGGCTCTCATGCATCCTGCTCAAGGTCCCACTCAACTGCGTGTTTGCTTCCCTCTTGACAGATGTCTAAGAAAACTGTGGTTGGAAAAAAACAACAACAAAAGACCCCGTGCTCTTTTTTTTTTTTTTTTTTTTAATATATTTTATTGATTTTTTTTATAGAGAGGAAGGGAGATGGGGATAGAGAGCTAGAAACATTGATGAGAGAGAAACATCGACCAGCTGCCTCCTGCACACCCCCCACTGGGGATGTGGCCACAACCAAGGTACATGCCCTTGACCGGAATTGAACCTGGGACCTTCCAGTCCGCAGACCGACGCTCTATCCACTGAGCCAAACTGGTTTCGGCAAACCCTGTGCTCTTAAGGGGTTGTCTCTATACTTCCTGAGCGGAGGTGTCATCAGCCTTCTGAACAAGTCTCCAATTCTTATCAATCGAAACACAAACACGTATGTTCATTGAAGACAATGGTTCCAGGACAGAAGGGGGTACTTTTAAATAAAGATGCTGATTGTATTCAAATGGAAAAAAAAGTGTGAAAACTTTTTGAAATTGCAAATGCATGCCATCAATGTCGTCACTGCTTTTCCCCCTCCACGTTTTAAAAACTTTCAGTAGGAAAACAAGTGGCATGTTTCATTTATAAGAGTCGATGGAACAAAATGGGGTAAGGTAGAATGAGTGACTCTTCACACCATGAGAGGCTGAAAATAAATCAGCAATGAACTCAACAACAGCAAGCACTGCAAAATTTTCTGCTGGCAGGGTTAGCATTGGGTAGCCAGAATCATCATCATAAATGTTTGCCGCTCTCTATTAAAAGTTGCACATTGAACTAGATAAATGACAGAGCCCTTTGTCAGTCCATAAAACCATAATGTTTTAAAGCCATAGCTACATATAAAACTCTATGTGACCTTATTAGACATTTGGTTTATTTGTCACTGAATGTCATATTAACCATGCCACTAACTAGCTGTTCTGAATTGATTTCTGTTAAGTAATTGGCATCTTAGTTCATTAAAAAAATGACAAATAATCAAAGAGCTGTAGATTCTTGGGTATGGTGCTGAGTGTGTCTCATACTGACAGTCCATTGGGGCTTGTAAATATCTAAGTTAGAAAGTTTTTCTTTTATTCCTATCTCAAAACAATATTCTTCAATAATTCTTCATTTAGTATTTGATTGCCCTAATAAAACTGAAAGCCTAGAAGAAGAAAAAAGAGTGACTGTTTTTCATAAAGAGTGACTCTAGTTTTCCCCAACTAGCTATTTGGGACTATTAGAGGTTTATTACATAGAGTGCTTTGCAGGAAATTAGGGCAACGTGTTCTTGTATTTTAAAGTTCTTCAGCCAAACTATCTCATCCTAGAATGAGTTGGTGATTTGCAGCTCTACACATAAAAAAACAAAAACAAAACAGTGATCTAAATACATTTCCTAATATCTCTATATCTAGATAGTCAGAATCTCCTTGGAAAGTTCTAAATCCATTATTTGGAAACATTCCTCTGATAATTCTTTTCATCAACCATATTTGGGGACACTAAATTATGGTTTGTGGGGTGATGATGGTGGTATGTGTGTGTTATTTCTCAAACTTTACCTATAAAAATGCTAGCCAGAACCAAATTAAAGAGTAGCGATAAGTTCTTTTATTGTTAAAGTTTCATATTTTATTTTATTTTTTCCATCATCATTTTCCCCTCTATACCCTCTTTTACCTCTACCCATCCCTCTCCACCCGTGAAATCATCACACTGTTGTCCATCTCCATGAATTTTCTCTCTTTTTATTTATTTTTTGCTCAATCCCTCTATCCCCACACTCTCATTCCCTAGTTTTCTGCTATGAGCTTGGTAGTTCAGTTTGCTCCTTAAATTCCACATATGAGTGAAATCATATAGTACTTGTCTTTCTCTGACTGACTTATTTCACTTAGTGCAATGTTCTCCAGGTCCATCCATACTGTTGCAAAAGATAAAATTTTCTTTCTTTTTATGACAGAGTAGTATTCCATTGTGTAAATGTACCATAGTTGTTGTTTTTTTAATCCAAGAGTAGAGATCATTTTTAAGCTAACATTCCAAATTTTACACTTGATCTTAGCCAAAAGGCCGAGAAGCGATAACATTCCAAATTTTAGATAACTGAACCTTAAAAAAAAAAAAAATCAACCTTGTTAACTCAACTCTTTGAAATACATTACAGTTTTTTCTTGATGCTGAGGATCAGTTGATATGTTGGTAACTCTAGAGCATAGTTGCTCTTTTTAGAATTTTATGTATTAATTTATATAATAACAAAAATACGAAATAGAAACTTTGCCCTTTACAAATTGTTCTACCAAGTTGAGTATCTCACCTGAAAATCAGTTATGTAACATTAAAATATTGAACTGTTTTCTTCTCTACCATCAGAAAATTAGTTAGTTAAAATGTTGACCAAGAAGAAGCAACTGATAAAGATCAAAGTCAAAGACCCAGATTTTCTCTAATGAAATCTCACTGTAGATGATTGGTAAGCAAACATTCCAGATATTATCAAGGGTTTTTTTTGTTGTTGTTTTTTTCACTGTAGCATTAACAAGGAGCAAGTCTTTAGCTAGTTATGTTTTTTTTTCTGCCCCCAAAACTTAATTAGTCGCATCTGATTTTTCAGGGTACAAATTACTTTGATGACTGTTTGGAAGATTTAAGTCTGTCAAGACTACTAGATTACTATTATCAAATTACTATTGCTAGTACAAGTTGGTACCTAAACTAATATTCACTTGGAGTAGATAGAGAAGAATTTGACCCTTCTAATTTACATAAGTCATTTGAATATTGTCATTGGAGGATTAGTCTTATGGAATATTGAAATCATGTAGGATTCTTTTTTTGCCTTCGGTGAATGTCATTTTTATACATACATTATTGTATTTCTTATACCTGTTGCAATAGATAACTTTGGACATATTACCTATACTTCATTATGTAAGCTTCAAAATCACACAGAATATGACTATTTTTTTAAAAGTGAAGAATTAATAGATACTATAGATTGGAGAGGCAGAAGAAATAATTTCAGTTTCTCTACTCTACTGCATGTTTTATTACCAAATATTTATATATAACTCATTCACATGCATAAACATGATGCTTTTTCTAACAAAGCAGCAGGACTACTTGGTTTTGAATATTCTGGAAAGAAATAGAAAGAATAATAAATCTTGGATATTAAATCTATGATTGCTCATTGAGTAAACACATTCAACCTGAGTAATAACTTTGGCCACTTTTTGGACTGCCTCTGATGCATCATCAAATATTTCACTGTGAATAAGCAAACACATTTGGAAAATAAGGCATACATTTCAAGTCAGTTTAAATTACTAAATGATTATATTTGAGAATTACCTGAGCATAAACTTCTTTAAGCAGGCTTTTCCTTTTAATAAATAATTTTTACAGTTTCTTATGAACACTTCCTTTTACTTTTCTGTACTTTTATGCTCAAAAATAAAGAATCTCCATTTAAAAAATACTATAGGTACCTACAATGCACCAATAGCAAACAGGGTAAATATTCAGGAACAAATGAGCACCAGCAGGTTATCTGGTAATTGTAGTTGTGATGTAAGCAGTTGTGCCAGGTTCCTGAAATGTTGGGACATATGCTAATTGGGTGCAGCTCATGCCTGTGTACTGCCAGAGGACACCAGGGTCAAGTGCATGTACAGTCACCTTGTTTCAAAGTGGCAATGGGAAATGTAAATTCAACCGTGGGGCATCCATCATAAAGGGACCCATAATGATGTTAGAGTCATAAGCCTTAATCACTTTATGCAATATTTAATACCTCTAGAACAGAAACATTTTAAATTCATGAATTTTAAATTATTTACAAACGTTTCTTACTGTTCAAGAGTTTAATGAAGTGAAAAAGAGTTGCGTATGAGTGTTTGAGCCAGCTGGCTGCTTTTTGTTTCATCTTTAACGTTGATGATCTTTTAAAGATGAAACTCCGCCGTTTTGAAGAGGTAGAAGATTACTTAGAGGTTGTGATATGTTGTCAGGAATAAGGAAACGATACCATTTTCCTAGGAAACAGGACCTTTACTATGATGCCACCTCCCTGTGTTCTGATTACAGAAGGTCTATGGTTAACATGCCCATTTCCAAACCATGTGGTTATCGTTGCTTTTAGAAATAGATACAAATCCTGTCTTTCCTTCCTGAACCTGGTGCTCCAATTTCTGATAGATCTGCTACTTCGTGGTGAGCGATGCAAACAAACCCGGTTTATTAACCAAGAGGGGAAAATAATTTTGTTTGTTTGGAATAAAACATAAATTGTACCTTCTGTTTCCATGATGTGTTCAACAAATCTCTAAGGACTACTGAGTATTGGTGCCTAGAAAGTTCAAATAACTTCATGGACTCTGTGACCATTGAGCTAGAGAATAAACAAACATTTGTTTAGACAATTCAAAACCATTAAATATAAGATAACCTGGATTCAGACATTGTTTTATATATATACCCGTTTTCTTCATTTGGGTTATAAATTTAAATAAAAACCTAAGAAGACATTTTTCAAAAGGCAATTTTTATATTTTTGAAAATACAGCCCATGATGTCATATACTTGCATGTTTCCTGCTTTTGTTTATTAATCTCTGTACTTTGTTCCTGCCAAGGATCAACTTCAATGGAACCTTGATTGTATATTTTTATTCTAATAAATGATATGCTATATGTGAAGGTATGTACCTATCTGTAAAAGTGAATATGATTTCTTGTAACTATTTTGAAGGTAGTCAGTTTGTTTTTCCTGTTATTGAACATTGTTTAAGTATGGAGAGTAGTTTGAAAATTACTTAAGATATGTGTCTGATAATGGACAATAAACTCGTCTTTCTTTTTTTTTGTGTGGCATTTTTCTTAGCAGAATCTAAACTACCTAGTTACTCACGCATTTATATCTCACATGTTTATATATTCTTAC